GGTAGGACAGAAAGTGACTTCTATACTTTTAAAATTTGCCCAAAATTTAGGAGGTCTTTAGACCAAGCCAACTATAGAGTATTTTTAGAATCCAGATTGTCAATTATTTATTACAGTATTTAGAAATTCCAAACTTGGAAATCTCCCTGACTAAAAAAATTTCATTGGCTGAATTTTTTTAATACAGATTGATCAAACAAAGTGGTACAAAAAATCTTTCATCACAACATTGAAAGTAAATGATGATATAAACAACAATTTAATAACAAAATTTTTACCTGATGAGTTTGCCAATTGAAAATGGGGTTTTATCAGAACATATGGAGATGGAATCAATACTAATAGCATTTCAAACAATATGAATTTTGAGCCAAATGAGTAAAGTACTTTGTACTTTTGAATTTGGTTCATGTGCCATGTCCCCATATAGGTCCAGTTATGAAAATGAGATATGGGATTGGGAATTAAATAGAAAACTTACAGCTATTACCACTGATAATGGTAACAACATGGATTGTGCATTGAAATTATTAAAGAATTCTTTAGAAGTTGATAGAGTTCCATGTTCAGCTCACACATCTCAACTATATAAATTGTAACAATAATATTAAGACTCCAATTCTTAGAGCCAGAGAAAAAGATGCATTTCTTTTTTTCCTCTCCAAAACAATTGGAAGAATTAGAAAAACAACAAGAGAGACTAAATTAAAGTTCTCCTAGAATATTAAAACTGATGGGCAATGTAAGGATATTAGAATAGTACATACAAGGCATGGGTGCAATTATAGCCATCATTCTTTTAACAAATTAGACACAGATAGAGAAGTTGAGAAAATTTTATTGAGTGATGATGAATGGTTACTAATTAGTGACCCTGTTAATATTCTAGGACAATTCAACACCATCACTGCAACAGTGAGTAGTAGCAAATTTGTCATGTTGTCTTTAATTTATTCTTTAATAGTTAGTCTTTTAAAAAAATATATATATTAAATGCAATCAGTGATGATGATGAAGATGATAGCAATAACAATAATGTAATTGTTCCACCAGTTAATACTGATGATTCTTAAATGAAGAAGAGTTTGAAGATCAAGAACAATTACCATTGCCATCATTAGAAGGAAGCAAGTGAACAAGAAGATGTTATATTTTTTGAAAAAAATAATCAGGAGAAAGAAAATAAAAAACTAATATCTCAACATTATACAAATCAATGAAATCAATAAAACCAACATTGGTATGATCCTTCTGTCTTGGCAATGCTCACACCAACATTAGATCCATGGTTCAAACATTTGATGAAGGAACACATTCAGAAATATTAAGAATATTTAAAAATTCAATATGAATTAATCAAACATAATAGCAGTTTTTCTCATTCAAGAAGTATAATCCCTCCTTTAAGGGACAATTCCGTTTATTTGATGATTTGCAACAATATGAAGAGTCACAAGGTGAATATGAAAAATATTTTTCTTTGCCAACTGCTTCCAGACAAGTAGATCCATTGGTTTGGTGGACTGATAAAAAGGATTAAAAAGGATGAATTTCCTATCATATCAATTCTAGTGAAAAAGTATTTGTGTATTAATACAGCTTCTGTACCTTCTGAACACCTATTCTCTGATGTGGGAAACCACATAACGCCACAAGGAGTAAATTATCCCATGATGTTATTTCTAAAGTATTATTTTTGAAGGTCAACTGATCCTTTGGAGGCATCTGTACATAGAAAACAGAAATTTGATCCATCATTACAAGGACGAAAAGCAGACTTTTCTGTTTATATACCAATTAGAGGTGAAAATTTTTATTTACTTGTATCAGAAACAAGGTCTGCCGATTATATATTATTAAACAAAATCACTTTGGAAAGTTGTGATATGATGAAAATGGGAAATGAAATGAAAGATGTAATCGATAAGTGTATTGATAATGGAATAAAAAGCAATGATTTGAGAATTTGTGGTTTACTGGTTGAAGGCAAGTTATTTGCATTGACATTTTCTTAATAACACTATTAATACCTATAATCTAATCTGGTTTTTGTAAAGAAATTCAAATAATATTTCTGTTTTAACCATTAAAATACATCACTCTATTTTCTATTAATCAATGTTATATATAAATTTTAATGTATTTACGTTATTCATTTTTTTACATATTATATAAAAAATATTAATAAAGAATTTAATTATTTTAACCAGGTAAAAAAAGACCAACAGGTCCTAAGACCCGGATTGACTTTTCCATCTCTAAATCTTTACCCTATTACTATGTTAATATCTGAAATTTCAATAGTTACCAACCCTAAATTAACACACGATAAAGTATCAATCATTTTACTTAAATGGTATATTATTATAATTTATTTGAATAAATAAAAATCAAGATAGATGAAATTATTGGAGTAACAATGATAATTAATAAAAATAACAACAAAGAGAATAAATGCGATGTTGATTGTTGTTGTTCAATTTGAATTAAAATATTCTCAAGTTTATTTATGAATGTTTCTAAGGAAAATAAATTTTTAACATGGTCCCTTCCTTTTTTACCTAGATCATATCTATTATATTTATTTAAAATAATAGATGAAAGTGCCTCTGAAAAGGCCTCAGGTGTTGCTTCACACAAGAAACCAGTCTCCTGATTTCTTATAGTTTCTTTTGGACCACCATTATTAACAGCTATCACAGGCAAACAAGAGTACATAGCTTCGATTGGTACAATTCCAAAATGTTCGTTAGATGGTGTGTATAAAAGACAAAGTGCCTTTGATAATAAATAGGTTCGTTGTGCCTCATTAAAAGAACAAAGAAATATAATTTGTGCATTATCTGGTGGATGACTTGTTGAACCTGGCATTATAGTAAATGTTTCAAGGTCTAATTGATTTGCAACCTCATTTAATTCTAAATGATATTCTACATTTTCTTTAACTCGAAGATCATAACCACCTATAATTTCAGTATTATCAATACCAATATATATATTTATATATTTTGAAATTAAAATCAATGACTTACCAGCAATAACTAATTGTAAATTTAAAAATAGATTTTTTGATGGTAAACTATCTTTTAAATTTGCAAACGCATTAATTGCAAGTGAAATATTTTTTTTTCTCTCAAATCTGTTTATAGATAAAATCAATTCCTTAGAACTATTAAACATATATATTGAATAAATAGAAAAATAATAAATAAATAAATAGATATTTTTGATTGTAACAATAATAAACATAATAATAAAATAAAGTTACGTTTCCAAAATTTTTATATTTTTATCTTGTAAATTTATTTCCTTATCATATGAATCAAAGTGTATACCAGGATAAAGAATTTGTGGTATATTTTTAATTGTTGGAAAAGATTCTTGAAATACAAGTGATGTAAATCTACTATTGACAACTATAGAATCAGCCATACCTAACAAGATTATTAAAATATATACATTATTTAAATAATGATTTTTTTAAAAAAAATTATATATACGCACATACATACATATTGATTATTAATAATTACCAGTTGTTAATTCTTCTAGCTTATCAATTGGATATCTATAAATTGATTTTAACAAGGATTCCCTTATGGACAGCAATTTATCTGGAAAATGACAATAAAACAAGACCTTATCCAAGATTAAACAGTTGTAATTGAATTATTTTTGTATATGTATAGAAAATAAAGCATTGATACATCAATAATAATACCTTAGCGCCGGTTAACTTTAATAAAGGAATGCATGCAGATAATTGATCTACAAATATCACATCATATTGATCCTTATCTGTAAAGATCAAAGATAACGACAAATGAAGTTGCCTAAGAATTGCAGACACAATATAAAAATATCCAAAAAATGTACTAGGAATAATTGTATTTCCTCGTACTCTGACATCAAGTGTACCTACAAATCAAAGTTAATTAATAAAACCATTATAATAATAAATGATGAATGATGGATGACAGCACTAACCATCTTTAGTTTCTTGAAAACAATGACTACGATCATGGTGGGAAGTATATATAACAATATCGTGACCTTTTGATTGCAAACCAACTGCCGCATCTACCACAAGTCTTTCTGCACCACCTATGAGTATAAAATGCTAGGTCAATAAATCAAAATACTGATAATTTCTATTTTTCCTAATAATGATTTTTAAAAGTGAAACATCAAAAAAAAACTTACCTATTCCTAAATCAGGATGTATGAAAGCTACTTTAAGTGGTTTTGATAACATTATGAAATTGATCTTCGTATTAACTATCTTTCAAATTTTTTTGGATTTGTTACACCAATTATTTTATTTTTTACTATGGGCAAGTTTTTGATCCCTGAAATTTCTTGTTATTAATATGTCAAAGAAAGAATTTCAACAACCTCCATCTCCACCTCCACCAAATAATGTAATTAATTTTGATGGAAATCAATAAATGGTATATGATGTTATTTAATTAATAAAAAAAATTTTTTTTTATTAGCCACGTCAATGTAATTTTTGGGTAAAACGTAAAAGGTAAATTGTTGTCAGGAAAATTATCGATTAATTAATCCTTGATTTGTAAAATATTAAATAAACAATAACAAATAATAACAAAATCAGACGGTACTGTCATCTTCCAAAAAAACTTGATAATAATTATTGTGGTGAACATTTACAATGTGAAGTAAAAGTAGGTATAAAAAAGGAAAGAATTCCATGCCCATTTGATCCTTCACAGTAAGTATACAACCATAAAATTATATATAAATATATATTTAAATCATTTTATCAAAGAATTAAATTAAATTAAAGGTAATCTCAATCAATCAATCAATCATTCAATCACAAACAAAATCTCGCATGGATTAAAAAGTACTGTTTACAAGATTGAATTGGAAAAACACTTAAAACATAAATGTAACTCGCGTCCGAAACCAACCCCAGCTTATTTCTCTCTTGATATTAATTGTACACTTCCAACACCAATATCCCCAATTGATGACAATGATGGTGATAAATCAAATGATGATGGGAAAATCACACTTTCAGGTTTATCGAAAGAGACTTTAAACATCTTGATCAACAATGTTAGAAATTGGTATAATAACAATGATGCTGTGCCAAAGATCATTAGGACTGAGGTTTTGGATCATGAAGTTTTAAAAGAAAAAAAGTTTGTATTTATTTTTCTTTACAAATTAATGTTCTCATTTATTTCATTAATTAGTAATGTATTTGATCCTTTCTTAAAAAGAGAAATCACAAAAAATCAAAAACATGTTATTCAACAAGTTAGTATCATATTCTTTAATATTAAAGAAAAAAATGATTTTTCATCAAACAATAAATAAATAATATAAATAATAGGCCTCACTATTGGGACATATGAAGAGATTAGAATTATTAAAAGCAAATTCTTGTTCCATAGAGTTTGGATGTGGCAAAGGCGAATTATCATATTTTAAAAAATTAGCCATTAAAAAAGAAGCTGATGACAATAATAATAAGTCAACATTTATTCTAATAGATAGAAAAAATACTCGTGGCAAAGTATAAGATTTTCATTATTATCATTTGATTATGATGATTCATTTAAGGAAGTTGCTGATTTTTCCTTTTTTCTTTAAAAAATTTTTTTTTATCAAGTTTGATTCATTAATTAGAGGATCATTGGATAATAAATCAATTATCAAACGTATAGAAATAGATATTAAAGATTTAGATTTGTCAATGTTGGATTTACTAAACAATAATTCTGGTAATGAAGAAGAAGAAAATAAAAATAGTGACAATCATAATATAGTCGCATATTCTAAACATCTTTGTGGTTCAGCAACTGATATTACATTAAAAGCTTTAATCAACTATTTAAATTCTAGTAAAAAAAAAAGGCATAAATATTTCATTTTCATTTTTTAGTGTGTACATGTGCAACACTTGCTCTATTTAATTTTATTTTATTTCATTGTATTTACATTTTGTTTTCTTGCATTTTACAGAAATTCAATATCAGGAATAATTATAGCTTTGTGTTGTCATCAATTATGTCGTTATCATATGTATCCTTATCATGACTACTTAAAAGATTTAGGAATTACTAAAAATGATTTCCAAAGAATCTGTGCAATGAGTAGTTGGGCTATATGTGGACAACGACAAAAATATAAAAAAGATGACAATGATTGTGAAGGAGAAAAAGAATATGAAGATTATGATTATGAATCAGACTTAGTAAAAAAAGAAGATAATTTGTAATAATTTCATACATATGTTTATATAATCTTTATATATATTTATTTTTTAATTAATCAAAAAATTTGTTTATTTAGAATTCATTATTCAGGTTTAGAACATTCTGATAGAGAAATTTTGGGGTACCAATGTAAACGAATACTGGATGCTGGACGTGTCAAATTCCTGGAGGCAAATGGATTTCAAGCTGAACTGATTTATTATGTTGAGCCATCAACTTCATTAGAAAATTTGGCATTGATTGCTATTCCAAAAAAATTGTAATTCGGTTGGTGGGATTCACATATAAGTCGCATATATTATTTTATTTTTATATATGCATATAATTTGTATGTTAGTGATGTACAATTCCATATAATATTACCTTTTTTGTTTTTAATAATAAAATAATGAGGAGAACTCCAATTTTTAAATTTTCTTTCATTTAATGTTGTAATTAAATTGATTTTAATGGTACAGCCATTATCATTCCCAGTGCCTAAAGTCAATATGCAAAATGCTCAATCTGAGCATAATAATTATTTGTGCGCAGTATAATTTTAGAGATGTTTATCAGGTAGGTCCTATGTAGAGATGTGCGGGGATTAAATCTTCAACTAGGACTTGCACTTTGCTTTCCCTTTCCTTTTATTATTATTAATGATGCATGTTAATACTTTTTGTATATATATAGATGATCTGCTATTCTTCTTTTTTCCTTGTCATATTATTTCTTGTTATTATTATTAAAATTATGAAATTAATGAATAAATAATACCATGAAATATATTAATTTATAAATGAACTCCCTCACTAAGGTTTCTGGTTCAAACTGTTTTCTCAAGGCCCAAACTAGTTTGGGCAATTTGGGCTTCCCAGCATTTTTTATAAACATGAACATTAAAAAACTATACCAATCAACTTATTTTAACTTAAACAACTTTAAAGTAATTTCACCCAATTCGGCTAATAACAAAAAATAGTTTGGGCTTATAAAAAAGTAATTTGGCAATCAGCTATTAATAAAGAGAGTTTGGCTGGAAACCTTAGTTCACATTATCAACTAAATGCAAGAGAATAGAGAGTAAAAATGAAACACAACTAAATTGATTTCCTACCTATTGAAATCTTTGTAATTATAATTTATTGTCATCATACATTTGCTTTAGTGTTATTAACACTATTATTGTTATTATAGTTTATTGAAAGATAATATAACAGTTGATTCATAATGAGCAGACATATTAAAAGTCATTATATCAAGAGGGAAATTTCTATTCATTAGCACCAACTGTATCATATGGAATTTATATTTTCTGTATTGGTATGCTTCTCATAAATCACATATGTATTCCATATGTTCTCTACATTAATATGACTTTGATGACTGGCCACAGGTAGGATTTCTATTTAAATAAGATTTATTTGAATGATTCATAATTAACTTTGAGCATTTGAATCACAATGAATGATTATTCAAATCAAACAAATCAAATGAACTCCTATGTGCTTTACAAAAGATCAAATTGTCAAATATTATAACTCATAGTTATGACACAGCTATGCTATAACTATGTTGTAACTTTTGGAATGATTTTCTGTATGCCATAACTGCTTATCTTTTATTTTAACCTGAATTAGGTAATCAAAAATAATTTAGGTACAGTCAAACACTATAATCAAATTTTGTCATAAAATTTGTTTCACATATAATAACATATTAAATCTGTTGTGGAAAGATTAGTAATTATAATCTTGCCACAACAGATTTTTAAATAAAATTTTCCTATTGTTATGTGCCCTGTTCATCTGCTGTGACAAGGTTTGACTGTAACCTTACTAAGTGATCATATGACATAACCTCAGGTGTTTCATATGTATGCACTCTTAGTTTCAAGGTGAGTGCTAAAAAAAATCAATTAAAAAAATAAGTTCAAAAGTCAAAAGCTTGCTAGAAGTTGTGTTTTGTACAGTAACAGTAAATCCAAACCAAAAGATGACAGCTGAAAATATGCACAAAGGACTTTTGAATGTGTAGAATACAGAGGGCCTGATTCACTAGAAAAACAAATGGTATTGTTCACTTTGGATTTATTTATGTCCAATAAAAATAAAGAAAAAATATTTTAAAACGTAAATTTGACTAGTTTTTTAATTCGAATCTGTGGGAAAGCCAAAGTAAAGTCTTTTTTAGATGGTTTGTTGCATAATTTGCATAATCGTACTACACAAATTTAATCTGCTTTAGAGATGTGATCCATGGATGATCAATCTGGATATCTCTCTTTAACTTATTTGCAACATGGACAATGATAATTATAATAATAATTATAGTGATAATATGAACCTACAGTCAAACCCTCATTTCAATGAATTTTATATTTAATAAACTATACAATGAATAATAAGTACCAATCACATTATAATGAATCCACATGATATAAATTTAAAAAATAAAAAAAAAGATGAATGCAAACAACAATAATAACAAAAACAAGATAACACAACATCATCAAATTCCAAAAAATCTATATAAATAAAGATTAAAATCTTTCTTCTATCAAATTCTTACAATCCTACACAATTAAAAAATTTCATGAATAAAACTCTTGAAAATGTCTCAACAACAATAATCATCATCCATTAAAAAACATGTATATATTTGATTTAAAATTATTTGTTTTTAATGTAATAATATAAATTTATTATAAAAATCATTTTTTTAATAAATGGCGCATAATTTGCGTAATCTACCATGCCGCACAAATCTGGAGTCTCTAGTCTTTTTATCATTAATCAAGTGGTGTGATACGCAAGGTTACTATATCTATTCCTCTTATGACATAATAGATCTGCGAAAAGTTTTTCCTAAATCTTTATTAAATCCAATAGGGTCGGGTTTTTCCAGGACCATATACAAATTTGGTATTTGTATAATCTTGTACGTTAAAAACAAAAACACTAAATTTTTAATTTTTAATTTCTTAAGATTTCTTTTTAACATTTAATACTTTGGAAGTAAACAATGGAGCAAATAAAGTAAATAGAAAAAAATAAAAATATTATTTTTATTTTATTCTAATTATACTATTCAAAAAAAAAAAAAAGAAGCATTAACAAAATGGTTTTATTGTTACCAAAATTTTTGATAATTTTTATATCAATAATTGCTTTATTAATAACAATAACAGTAGTATCATTATTGTCTCTTCCAAAGCTTGGATTAATACCAGAAAAGAAACAACTTACCGGATATTTTTTACACATTACAGATTTTCACCCTGATGCTTATTATGAACCAAATGCTATAGTAAAATCAAGATGTCATCAAAGATTATCAGAGCTTAAAAGACCTGTTTATATGAAAAAAGGTATTTCTGGTCCTTGGGGTGCTGAAGCGACCATATGTGATTCTCCGATCAGTTTAATTAATGCCACTTTTGAGTGGTTGGAAAAAAATTGGAAAAATAAGTTGGATTTTGTTATTTGGACTGGTGATAATTCCAGGTATGTTGTTGTTGTTATCATTAATAAAATTTTTAAATTTTAAATTTGAATGATTTTTATTTATTTTGATAATTAGACATGATAATGATAATAATATTCCACGTACACCAAAAGAAATGTATGATTCAAATCGATTCATAACAAATAAATTTCTTGAAACTTTTACAAAAACTACATATACAAAAAAACATCATCCTCTTCTTAAAACTATACCAATAGTTCCTTCCATTGGCAATAATGATCTTAATCCAAATAATATTATTCCTCGTGGCCCAAATGACATCCTCACAAATCTTCACGAAACTTGGTCGCAATTCATACCAAAAGGTCAACATCAATATTTCCTTAGAGGAGGATATTTCTATACTGAAGTTATACCTGGAAAACTCATTGTTGTCTCTTTAAATACCTTGTATTTTTATAAATCAAATACTGCCGTTAATGGTTGTAAAGTTAGGACTCAACCTGGCACTATTCAATTTAGATGGTTGAACAAAGTTCTTAAAAAAGCTAGAAAACATGGGTTGAAGGTTTATTTAACAGGCCATATTGCACCAAGAAGAAATCAATACATACTAACATGTTATAAAAAATATGGAAAATTGGCAATTAAATATCATGACCTTATTCTGGGTCATTATTACGGACATTCAAACATGGATCATTTCTTTTTTATTGGCTCTAAAAATAAGTATAGAAAAATGAAAATTGATGATTTTGATGATATTGAGCATGATAATGATGAGGATGATAATGCCGATGCTGAAGACATTAGTTTGAATAATGGAATTATAAAAAATAGTAGTGGTGATTCATCTATTTTATCACACAAATCACAAACAACCAATCAATTGAATTTCCAATCATCGCAAACAAATATTAATGATGATGAAAACAAACAATTTCATACTAAAGTTTATAATGTTGACAAGTATCTAGGAAAATTATATTCTCACTACAGAGCTGTTCCGCGATTAACAGAAGCTGTAACAAAACAATATGCTGTCATTCATATTAATCCTTCCATAATTCCAACATTTTTTCCTGCTCTTAGAATTTTTCAATATAACATTACTGAACCATCACCATCACAATCATCTATAGATGATGATTATGACAATGACGATGATGACGATGATTATGATGTTGAAGATGATGACGATGATGTTGACGATGACGATTATGATGATTCAAGCTCACCTGCACATTCAAATACATTTCTAACCCCGTTAGGTTACACGCAATATTTCATTAATCTTACAGAAGCCAACCAATATCCAAATATCACACCAGAATTTAAAATCGAATATACTACTTGGGATGATTATAATATGAAAGACTTAACTGTTCCAAGCTGGATTCACTTGGCCAGAAAGGTTGCTAACCATGGCCTAAAAGGTTCAATATGGGAAAAAATTAGGGAACATTTGATGGTTGGTGCAAGGTCAATAATTGAGCAACGTAAATCAAAATGTAATCATTCTAGATGCATATCTAAAGGTCCTGAAGATTACATTATTAACGATTTAATAATATAATTTATATAGACTGTAATTTTAATAATAATATTTTTTTTTCTTCTTACAATTGCATATAACACAATGTATTTTTATATCATTATAATTAACATTATTATTATTATTTATTATAATAATAATAATTCACAAAAAAAAAATTTTTTCAAGGGCTAAATTATTAAAACAAAAATAAATTAATTTTTTTTGTAAAACCTATAAAAGCCAACTACGTGATATTTTTAATAATAGTAGTTTACTTTG